TGAACAAGTATTTCAAAAAAAAATTTGCTTTTCCCCACTCCAGTTCCACAATGATTAGTCCTGAAGTTTGCCATGAGTTTGCTTCAAAATATTTTGCATATTGGATCAAAATACTTTCAATATTTTTCAGTCATTAAATTGTTTTGAACAGAAAAGTTCCTCGAAGTAGATGTTCATTCTTCACACCAGTAAGTAGACTTTGAACCCAAACACGCTGAAGCAAAAACAACAGAAAAAAACTAAATCCTAGAATGTTGATGTCCAGGATGGTTTCGTTTTTCTTTAAACAGAAACGAAGATGCAGAATTCTGAAGTGAACTTGCTATAAACTTGTCTCCATCCCAGCACTGCTGTTGCTGTTATCCTGGTGATAACACATTTGCTTGTGAAATGCAATTACCACTTTAAAATCCATTGAGCTGATGAGATCCCACAATCCAAGGGGAACATGCTTCTTGAGTACAGCTGTAACCAGCTGGCTGCTGAGCAAAAAGAGGACTGCTCCTGCCACCTCTGCAATGAGGTTCCAGGACATAATACTGTGGTTGCTGGTACCCTTCCTGAGGTTGAGAATCACATCAAACTGAGCAAAAATTGTACAACTGCATTGGAGACCAGAGTTTGTGTGGACTGATAGGGTAATGCTAGGCACAAACGCGTTGACTCCGGTTCTCAAAGACTGTCATTTAAAGTTATCTATGATTACATGGATCCTCCATACACCCCACCAAACTATCTCACCAACCTATCAATACTTACATTGCTCTTAACTACACTTTAAAACAGTCAATGTAATCTACATAGACTGCAAGTTGCATGTATGGAAAAAAAATCAAGCCATTAGACACTAATCTACACAGTTTAAGAAGCAATTTAACTACATCAGTTAAATTTAGAAACTGATTTAATCATTGCACAGGCAACCAAGATTTAAACCTCATCTTCAAGCAGATCCCTATGCATTAGCTGCATAATAACTTCCTTTCTGAATTATGATGCCAATCATAGGCAAAGTTCAGAGAGGAGGCCAATGACTGCATTTATTTGCAGTATTGAAGTAGCACTGAACTTCCCACAGTCTCAGACAGTGATAATGAAGAATATTTCTGTATGTGTTCACATCACTGTCTTGAAAACATGATGGGCATGCTAAAACTCACAGCACAGATGCCAGTTTTACAAAATTACTCCTCCTTGTATATTAACATCAAACCCATTTTGCCAGTTTGCCATTTAAAAAAAGTCCCTCAACTCCAGACAGTCAAATCCAAATATTGATAAGTGCACACTGAATAGAGTTTAACCCAAGACAGGCAAGAGTTGAGCCCAAATACTCAGCCTCTTCCAATATTAAAAATCAGACAGAAACCAAGAAAAGCTCATAGAAAACGCAGGCACCTCTTAATTAAGATCCGAATCTGTGGTCGGACTTCTGTGTCATGTTTTAAGTCCGTCTCTCCCAAACCCACTTCCACCTCATTTTGGCTTTACCACTTGTAATGCAAGGAATCTGGGATACCTGCTCCTCTCTCATAGGTCTCTCTTCCCAGGAGACCATTTGGGAAACATTGCCCTACTTCTGCCCCCATCCACTGCTATGTAATTAGTGATCTTCAGCTTTTCACTGGCCAAGAAGTCCAAAAACCTTCCACCATTCTCCAGAAGACACTCTCTCTCCTGCCCAACCTACTTTTTGCACTCACTCACTCCTATTCTGAAAAACTTCTTTCCTTCAGGGAAACTGCAAACTGTAGTCATCTTAAGAAAATCTGGAGGAAACTTTTCTTAATAGTTTGTTTTAAATCAAGAATTTAAGTTACTAAATCATTCTATAATTTTCCAGCCACAAAGGATACAAGTTATGTGACCGAAGAGTCAGATAGTACAGGTAAAAGTCTTTGTGTATAAATTTGGTTTAACCCTGACTAAAAATATCAAAGTTGCTTTCACAGTAAAAGTATTTCTAAAGACTGGAACAGCCTTATCCACACAGCAATCACAAGCATAATTTTAACATCTTTCTTCAAAACACGTAACTGAACATGCAACATTTTTATTTGCCAAACTAACTATAAACGTGTATTTCCTACAATTGCTTGTATTGATGACACGGAAATGCTCCAACTGGTCTAGTGAATTGACATTTGGGGCTGGGAGGCATTGGGGTCCCTTTTCAAGCCCTGCATTTGGTATTTCCTTCCTGACTACACGCTCCCTACCTTTCTTTGTGAGAGACACTTTTGTAGTGTAGCATTGTAGGATTACAATGGAAGTTTAGAAGAGCCAGTGCATGCTACTTACACAGGGTGGCACATTAAGGCATCCGCAGCTTTCACAAACATGTAATAGCTGTATTTTGAGCAACTTAACAGCCTTTGGGGGTGTTTATTTTAGCAAAACACACTAGGAAATCCAGAGAAGCAGGAAAAGACAAGACATAATTATAATCTAAGCAATAAAACGAATGACTTGATTTAAAATGAGAATGCCTCTCTACGCATGCAAAACAGGCAAATTAAGCCATTTAAATTTTTAATTATGACTTGTAAGTGAAATTCTTTGAAGCAGAAATTTAAAAAGAAAAACATCATATTCCTGTATAAATCATTACTTTAAATACAAGCTTATTTTATTGACCAGGCAGAGTTTCCAAATCGTATGTCCTATTAGAACATTTGCAATACATGAATGATGAGTGTTCAACCAAAAATTAAAATTTGTTTACTAAAATCAGGTTTTTATATTTTTGAAAAAAATCAAAGGTTGATTATTTTCAAGTATGTTCAGCATTCTGTCTTTAAATACCCTTCAGCGACATTAAACTCCAGACTATTAAACACTAGATACATTTCAATCAAACTCCACATGAAAGTCGTGTTTAACCTGCACAAAGAAACAGAAAATATTTGATAACACTACATTCAGTATGAACAGCAAATATCTCAAAATAATTTTTGAAGTTTTCTGTATAAACACAACCTATGTAAAATATTCCTAAACCTAGGTTCCTGTTCCTGTAACAACTAATCTCTACAACCTCTCATGAATAGAAGCGAGCAATGTTTCCACGCAGCATGAAATGCAATTGAAAAGTAACAGTGCTGTAACAATTGTTACACTTGTAATAAAAAAAGAAACACTGGAAGTTAAAATATGACAACTGTGACTTTTTTAATCCCAAAAGCAGGAGAACAGCTCTGTGAAGCCAGCTACTAGAGAGACGGTAAGTCTGAGGGCTAGATACTGGAGAGATCAGGGGTCTTAAAGTCAGCTACTGGAGTGACCATAGGTATGGACTAGGTAATGGAGAGACCTTTGCACACATGTGAACGTGTGTGCACACCTATGTCACAAGATATGTATTTACAGGTATTCTGTTAAGAGGAATAAATCTCTTTCATTAAATAATAAGCAATATGCTAATCTAATAAGAGGAATAAATCTCTTTCATTAAATAAGCAATATGCTAATCTAATAATCTAGTAATGAAGTATATTTTCAGTCTTCGATATGTCCGTTTGGTTTACCAAATTTTTCGCAGACTACTTACTTTCCCTGACATTCTTCCTTCACCTTCAAAATTTATAGCAAGTGATCTTTTTTCCAAAGAATTTCAGTATACAACCATCAAGTGACCTTACCATTTAATGGGAACTGCAAAAGGGGCAGAAGGGGGAAGGAATGGGTTTTCTTTCATCCTTCTCCTTCAAAGGCTGTTGCCATAACTTTCACATTTCTGCGCGCACCATATGGTTTCCCGATCCCTTCATCCCCCAGAATAAAGTTTCTTATTTGACATTGTGAACACATGCACAGAGTATTCCAGAACTCCTCTGAGTTTTTCCTAACTGAAAGTGCAATCTCTTTCAGAACATATATGCTGATAACCATCTTGAATATCATCAAGCATATCACCAGAACTCAAAATTAAAATAAGCATATGTGAATTTCAGCTGAGGGGACAAAGTGTGCCAACATTGGCTATGATCCTCCACAGCCAGAGTCAGCTCTAGGACATACGCAAAGTCAAAAGTATCCTAAAGCACTGCTGCATACTTTGCTTTTTGCAGAGACCTTGAAGCAAGGCTAACTGCAGTTTCTGCCAAAGGCAGCACTGTGGTGTGCAATGCAGTAAAAACGTGCTCTCTCCTATGAGTAGCTAATACTACTTTTAACCTCCTCATCCTCTCAGAAGGAAGAACAAACGTACTTTCCAGCTTCTTCCCCTGCTCAAAAGGTTTCTCTTTCCACTGCACAAGCAGACAAGCTGCAGTCCCCTAAAAAAGTTATTATAATCAGCTTTACCTATTCTAACAAAGTTGTCTGCCCTTTGGCAGTAGCCCTTCATTAGCATCACCCTGTGTGGCCCATATCTTATGTCACACCGTGAAAGAAGTGCTACACGGCTGTTTACCTACTCTTCCACCAACACAACAGATATTCCTCATCTAAAAGTCTGTGATGTGCATGTCTCAGCTGAGAGATTGGGGGCAGGGGAATTCTTCCTCACAAAGCTAGTTTAATATCAATAAATATAAATCTTCTATTATCCATTGCACTTTGAAGCAAGCAGTCAAACATTTACCTCAGCAGATTTAGTTTCAATCTCTAAAACAACACATCAGCAAAGCACAGATTATACAAGGTAAAAGTAATTAACATATGCAAATTTGTAAGTCCAATATCTCATGAACAACCACGAATAAAGTAAATTCATTTGTTTTCTACACAATGAGATTACTGTTTAAATGATACTAGTCTCCTGGGCTAGCAGTGCTTTTGATATTTGTTTCAGGGCCTAATACAGCGTATTTTCAACACCACAAAAATATAAACCTCCTTCCCAATGTTAACTCAAAACTTGCTGGACTGTTTCCAAACTTCATCATTGGTCTTCAGTTTAAAGACTTACCACAGTTTCCAAAGCTATCTTTAAGATTAACACAAATGTGAAGTAAGCAACAAGGTATGTTCAGTAAGAGCTCCCTGGAACAACTTACCATTTAAAAGAGGGAGCAGAGAATATCCTTTCTGTTTACACGTTTGAGAAGACTGCTATTCTGTAACTTGCTAGCACTCAGGTGGCTTTCTCTGCAAAGACAGACAAATTTCAGCTTAGTTTTTCAATAACAGAATAATTAAAGATATGCATTTAAAAAATCAGGTTCAGCAATCAGTTAAAAAACTTACTAAAACATGCACGAGTAGAATCTAGACATACGTTTAACCATCTTGAGCTAAATGTTAATTCATGTTACAGTAAGTTTTTTCAAGGCAAGAAAATGGCTTATGTTATTTTATGATCAATGCCTTTTTTTTAAACTGGAAGTATCTGCAGAGAAGGTAGTATCTACCCACTTAAAGCCTGTGGGGATGGAAAAATGTGAGATAATAGCCTATCATAAAGCATAATAAAACACCAAGTTTGAGTCCCTCTGAGACACTTCACAGTAAATTAAATATTACTAAACACAAACCCACTAAAACAAAACAAACACATAAAAAAGCAATGAGAATCTCTTGCAAAAAAATAAGTATTGAGATGTTTCCATGAAAATATTACAGATCCTAGCATCAAGAGAATATTCTGACTTATAGATGAACATTTAGTCATATACTAGATTTTTATAAAGTAAGCTTTTGTGGTTAAGATGTAGCTGCCCTTTCTGCAAGAACCGTACAAAGATGATCTCTAAGCTAGATCATTTGATCATAAGAGATTAGTACTACAGCCATATTTTTAAACGCCGCTGCTATACATTCTGTGATGGAACTTGATTAGACATTTTAGACAATAAAAATTTATGAGGGAGATAAAAAACTTGTCTATTTCAAGGACACATTCATAAAAGGGGATTTATAACAAAGCCAAAGCATCTAGAAGAGAAACACTGTTAAAGTTACCACACACAGATTTCTCAAAGGTAAGCCATCAGTGTCCAAGACAACACCTCTTGTTCACTGTCACCACTCCAAGTTCCCTTCATCCTCCCTCAAAATATTAGACCTTTAACACCATGGTGCCCCCATCTCAATTCCAGTAAGCATCGGTGCAGTGGCCACTTACTCCAAACATAATATTGCCCTCTAGTTAGCTCACTACCAAGATCTACCAGTTGACCAAGGCCCTGGTCCTTACTTAAGTGTTTACAGGCTTACAGAAGGAACTGTTCTGAAGGTACACATTAGAAAAGGCTCCAGTACATAGACTTCATCCACATTCAGAGGTCTCCCTATCTTATCACCAGGATAGGTGTACTGTATGTGGAAGAAGGTGCCTTCCAACGAATCCTGACTAAAGTTATGTCAGACTGGATCCTATTAACTTAAGGGATCTAAACCAACAGTGATACTGACTAAATTACAGAAAGTACTGAACAGATTCAACAGGATAAGATTTGAGAGATGCAGAATGTATAAGGCTGACTTCTGGTTACAAACATATATCCAGCGGAATTTTGTTTAAAATCAATGTTTTAAAACTTTCTAAACAGGACTCCTAGAAATGAGGAGATTGTACGTAAGCATTTTGAAGAACAAGCTATATGGCACACAGAGGATTACTTCAGAAATCCACACAAAAAAACCCATAAAGGATTTAATGCAAGACACAACTTTTATACAGATTGAGGATTAAAAGTATACAAATGGTAGGTCATTATCAAAATGGTGAAAAAAGGATTTTATTTTAAAGTCTGCTTTCTGGGGCAGGGGGAGGGGTTTCAAAACATGGTTTCATATATGGACATCCAAAGCTTACTACCATTGTAGTTTGAATTACAAGTAACTATTTCAATCAATGCATACACACAAAAAAGGAGGGGGTTTAAATCTTAGAGTTCGTAGAATGGTTTGGGTTGGAAGGGACCTTAAAGCCCATCTGGTTCCAACCCCCCTGCCCTGGGCAGGGACACCTCCCACCAGACCAGGTTGCCCAAAGCCCCATCCAACCTGGCCTTGAACACTTCCAGGGATGGGGCAGCCACAGCTTCTCTGGGCAAACTCTGCCAGCGGCTCACCAACCTCACCGGGAAGAATTTGTTCCTAATATCTCATCTAAATCTTACCTCTTCCAGTTTAAAGCCATTGCCCCTTGTCCTATCACTACATGTCCTTGTACCTTTCCCAGCTTTGTCGGCCCCTTTAGGTACTGGAAGGCGGCTCTAAGGTCTCCCCGGAGCCTTCTCTTCTCCAGGCTGAACAACCCCAACTCTCTCAGCCTGTCCTCACAGCAGAGGTGCTCCAGCCCTCAGGATCATCTTCGTGACCTCCTCTGGGCTCACTCCAACTGGTCCATCTTCAATACCGATTTGCCTTGTTAACTTCCTGCGTGTATTCAATCTTAAAAGCATGAAACCAAAGTCTTTGAAACTACTGTAACTCTACATCAGACATTTGGAAAACCCAGACAGTTTCTGGAGTCTTCAAAAAGTAGAACCATGCATCAATTAGTGGTTAGGTCCCACTCCATCTTAAGTACTTCTACAGGGGGATGAGGGGCTTTTCTGTAAGAAATACAATCAGTTACTATAGAACCAAGGGGCCTCTCGGTGCCTCATCATTAGCAGCTTTCATGAGATTGATCAAGAAAACTACAAAGTTTCTTATCTTTAAGCTAGGCTTGATCCAGATCAGTCTTAAACTTGGGCATGCAGCATAAAGGAAGACACAGCAGCTCATGTTTTCCAAGTGGTCTTTAAATTAAAATTCAATTGCTGTTGCCTAGCCCAAACTCTAAGCCTTCACAGACATCCAGAAATGCAGACTTGAGACACACCGTCCTTGGAGTGTGCAGAGCATTCTGCGCTCTACCGAGCCCTCAAGGGACAATTTCCTACTCCATATCTTTGAGAACCACTTCAATGGTCAGACTTGGTCACAGCACCCAGTCTGTCCTCTGCCACCAATTCCTTCCAAACAAGCTCAACCTCTTGGAGATTTTCTTTAAGGCACAGACAGATAAAGTAAAAATATCCAACCTGTCGCGGAGTATCTGGTATCTCTTTTATCTGTCCTCTGCCACCAATTCCTTCCAAACAAGCTCAACCTCTTGGAGATTTTCTTTAAGGCACAGACAGATAAAGTAAAAATATCCAACCTGTCGCGGAGTATCTGGTATCTCTTTTATTCATTTTCACTCACTGGATTATGGTACAAATACACACTGCTTGACTGATTATAGCAGTCCTTCAGTATTGGACAGAGGAGATCTATCTAAACCAGAAGCTAGCAAAATCTTAAACACCTTGCGGAATTTATCTGAGGTTAAACACTTGATCTTCAGAGATTTTGCCAGCTACAAAAGACAGATTGTCAAGCCTATGAACCAGCACCGGTTGGTCAGACATTCTCGGCTGACAAGAAGCATGATGGCATTGACCAGCCCCCACGTATCTCATCTCTTTGGTACCTCAATGGTAAGAGGCTTGCCCAGGGTAAGACTCTCTTCCTTAATGCCCTGCACTGAATCCTTACTGCAAATGAAGCCAAGTGTAAAGATAAGGTTATTCCACAAATACCACAACAGGCAGAAAGTAGCTCTTCCACTCTCTCATCTTCGATCCAAAAAGATTCTCCCATCACTGACAAAGAAATAAGTCTAATATCTCTGAAAAGGAACAAATTTCAGCTGGGATGTCAATACTAAAATCTTTTCAAACACTTAAAGAGGTCTGCTGGCAGCATTTACCATCCCTAAATCTTCACAGTTAACAATCCTAATCTCACCATACTAGTCTTCTGTACTACTGGCCTGCTCCTTCTCCCAGTATTGCCCCAGAAGTTTGGTGTATACATCTTTACAGAAAGGCAAAGAGCTCCCTCCTAGCTCCACTCCCAGTGCCCAGAGAGGTCTCCCTAATGCTTCACCTAAAGGAACGCTGCTGCCTTTACATCACAGTGGAGATCCACTTGAGTAATGACATTAAAAATGGACCTTCCTCAGCAGACAGAGCCCCTGTAATTTCAGTCGTTGCCCACCCAGCCAGGGGGGCATTGAACAGCATAGTTTGTCAGTTAGCAAGATTTTAAGAAGCACATTTATAAAAGGTCCCTTAAATTCTGCTTCCTGGAGCATTCAATCTCATTTCTTGTGGTTAGCTACAAAGCATGAACATCTAAACAGATGCGTTATATAAGTTTGTACCCCAGACAGAAAGAAAACCTGTGGGCACATTAAAGGGATTACTCCAAGGCTAAATGATGGGAAAGACAGAGGTACACGCTTTCAAGTTAAACGCTTCACTGAGAAAAATGGATACGGTGACATAAGCAATACAAAAACACTGTCAGATAGCTAACAGTCAACATTCAAATCAAACAGTGGACTTCACCCTGTCCTGAACAAAACTTAAGATTTTCTTTAGCTCAAACTTCTCTAAGTAGTAGAGGGGCATGCAGTTTGTGCCCTACTGTTTCATAACATTGGAGAGAAGCAGCAGAATAAGGGAAGCATGAAACATCACAGGACCGAACCCTACCAAAAAGTGTTAGTCAAAAATATCACATGTACACACATATACCACTAAAAATGAGACACTTAACTACCAAGACTGACAAATGAAACCTAGTAGGCTTCAGAATGCCTGAGAAAAAAGGCAACTTAGAACAGGTGTAATCTTTAAAAAGGGAAGAAATCTCACATCTATAAAATGCAACAGGGAAGGAGACAGCAGCAAGGTCATACTTACTGCCTCGGCGCTGCCATAGCTGACAGCCAGCTTCAGCTCCATGCAATCAGAATTACACAGATGGTCACAGGCTGGAGCAAGAAAGGAGCTGCTCTCCCTAGCACCCCCCATCCAGGGGCAATACACAGTTTTACATCTGGATCTAGCTGAAAGTAACCACTCGTATCACTCTATGGCTAATTCCCCTATAGCTTGGAAACAAAAAAAAAATGGAAAAATAGAAGAGCATTCAGATTCAACATTTGGAGAATAGGAGGTACATCCTTCACCCTAGCAGACAGAAGGATGATTTGTGGTATAGACCTGGGCTCATGGAAAAAAAAAAAAAATCTCACCTTCCCTGTAATTATGTCCTCCTCAGAGGTCACATCCTTTGTTCAAAAACCCATCTGAGATACAA